CCTAACTTTTACATCCTTAGTGCTGAGATTACAGGTGTGGACCATCATATCCAGTCTCAGTCTCCCCCCCCCTCCCCCTCCCCCTCTTCCTCCAGCCCTCTTCATAAACTGATGAGGAGGTTCCTAGTTCTGTAATGTGATGGCAGCACAGTGCTGCTGTTGAGACTGCTCTTGTCATTATTTTTGTCAACATGCCCACAAATGCTAACCATAAGGACAGGTAAGGACAAGTGCCCATTTAAACTGTGCTGGACTCAGCAGCTGAGAAGACTCGACCTGCCTTGGATGACTAGAGTCAGCCAGAAGCCAGTCACACCTTGGAGAACCATAGTGTTACAAGCAGCTCCACATCAACAGTCCCTGGTTGCGCACCCCACTGATAGCACAAAGGCAAACCCCACAAAACTCTTTAATGAAAGCTCTCCGCTATCAAAGGGGATCATCGCCTTGACCCTCCCCCCTAGTTTCCATGGCTATGGTAGGTGCACTCTGCACCAGGCGAGCTACCAGGGGCTGCTTCCTCCCATTTTAGTATGTGTTATAAGCTACCCTGTCATTTCAGCTGAAGCCTGCAGGAACTGCATGCAGGGACTCCAGCAACTCCTGTGACCTCCCAGAGTTCTGCACGGGTGCTGCTCCTCACTGCCCAGCCAATGTGTACCTACATGATGGGCACCCGTGTCAGGGAGTGGATGGTTACTGCTACAATGGCATCTGCCAGACCCACGAGCAGCAGTGTGTCACGCTCTGGGGACCAGGTACGTGGTTGTCCCCAGCTCTATGCTGGACGCTGGGGAAGCATGCTCTGTGTCCACGAGTCCTTGATACTACATGCTTCATCCACAGTGTTCATTCTGTTTTACAGAGAAGCTCAAACTCACGAGACAGGAAGTCAGTTTCCCAGAATACATAGCTGGGATTTGAACTAGGATACTGTGACCCAGCATCTGCATATAACTCTCATAGGGCACAGTCAGCCCCTGTGAGCAAATGAGACCTTGGTCTAAAGTCCCACCAAGCTCGCCAAGTAAATAGAAGCTCTGGGCAGAACTGTGGCCTTGTATGTGTCTCTCCACTCTAAGATCAGATCCAGGGCCTCATAGGGCACCAGAGTCTTATCATTCCAGAGCCTCATGGCCTAAGGCCGCACAGCCCCAGGGCCTCAACACCCCAGACTTCAACACCCCAAGTCTCAACTCTGGGGCCTCATCACCTGGAAACTATTCAGCTCCTAGGATTCTGTCCGAAAATCCCACCAGGATGTTTTCTAAGTACATTGAGTTCTCTCTCTCCCTTACTGCTTGGCTGAGGCCTTGCTTAAGGCGAGGGATGACCTCAGACCTGGCCAGAGGCCCCAGCACCACCAAGGCCACTGTGGTCAGCCAGGCTCAGGCCCAGAGCTGAGTCAGCAGAGAAGGAAACTTAAAACTTTTCTGCGGGGTTCTGATTTCCAGAGGGCAGGGGAAGTATACCAGGACAGGAAATGATAAACACAGAAGCCTGCTTTTAACTGCCACTTGGGTCAACACCCAAGCATAGAAGGTGTCTCTTGGAGTTGGTCTTGCCGTGAGCCCACAGGCCAGTAAAGATGTCCCCTGCACCTGGAGCTTTCTGAGGGAGAGGTTCCCATACATAGATGTACCTGGGCAGGTGGAACAGAGGCTAAGGTTCCTGGCCTTTCATGCTTCCTCTCCAGAGCCTCAGCACTGGCCTCAGAAGGAGGTCCTCAGGAGAAGGGTAGGGTACTGTTGTTGCAGTGACAGACAGTAGAAAGACACCCACTACACCCATGCCAAATGTCTGGAGGTTCTGAATGGCTGCGAGACCCCAGATAACTTTTAGCCAAGCAAGGTTGGTTTGGGACAGAGGCTCCTGCAGAAGGCCAGATCCTCAGGGCCTCCACATCTCTAGTGGCCATTGCACTTCCAGCAGGAAGCTCCCTCCTAGAGTTACAGTGGCTGCTGGGCCATCCCTTCCTGGGAGCGGTCCTTGGCCAGAGCTCACCCAGCCCTCGGGGCTTTTTCGTGCTATGAGGCCTGGCTCCAGCTCCGGAATGAGCTCAGATGGAACACCACAGTGCTCCTGAGCCACTGTGCTGGGTGACTCAGCTGGCTGTCGTGGTGGCCAAGGACAGTGTCAGAAAAAAAGGAGGAGAGGATGGGAGCTGGGAGATGACCCAGTCAGTACACTGCTTGCTGTGTGAGTGAGGGCCTGAGTCGAGATCCCCAGCATCTGTGTAAAAAGCCAGGAATCACAGCAGTCATCCCAGTGCAGGGACTGTAGAGACAGGAAGATCATGGAGCTCGCTAGACAGTCTACCCAGTCAGGTTCAAGGTTCAGCCAGAGAAGCTTATGGCATCCATGGGGGGGGGGGGCAGGGGGAGAGAGAGAGAGAATATATATACCAGATGTACATAAAACATTCTGACAAACGAGCTTCTCAAAAGCAAGAGAAAGAAGGAAACTGCTGGACCATCCCCATCCTGATGGCCAAGGCTGAGGCCTGGCTGCTGGTGAGCTCATCCTCTTCCTGAGGAGGGGCATCTCCAGGAACACTCTCCTCCTTAGCTCTCTTCTCTCCTGCCCACCCTCACACTGGCAGCCAGGGAGGCCTTGCCACAGGTACAGTACGGGTGCTGGGAATGGTTCCTTGCATAGAGCACTAAAGAAATCATGGGGACCAGGTCTGGGGAGCCACCTTAGATGGTGACTCCTGGGTTTCAATGTGCCCCTGCCAGGCCTTGCTCAGCACAAATCAAGAATGAACTCCCTATCAGAGAGGGACTATTAGAGGGCTTCTAGCTTTGGCTGTGGCTTAGACTGAACATCCACTCCCTTTGCAGTACAGCATGGCTCTTTCCTACCCCATCCGTGGGACTGCCTAGTTTTCCAGTTGAAGGCACTGTGAGTTCCCTGTGGCCACAACCTTAGTGGCTTACAACAGGAGAAGTCATAGCTTACAACCCTGGAAATCAGAATCCTTCTATCCAGGTGTGAACCGGGTGTGTCCAGAGGTTCTGGGGAGAAATCGTTTTCCTCACTTTCCTGGCTTTCAGATGTGGCCTGCAGTCCTCAGCTCATGGCCCCTTCTCTCTCTTAAGGCCGACAGTACATCTTCAAGTGCCTGTCTCTCTCTGACCTCTGTTTCTGTGGCCACATTTCACTCTGCCCCTCCCATCTTCCTTTTAAGGACCATGTGATTATATTGAACCCACCCTGGGTCCCCTCTCCTCATCTCAAGATCTCCTAACTTAATCACATCTGCAAAGCTCCTCTTTTATGTAAGGCAATGTATCAACATGTTCCAGATTGGGGAGGGTGAACAGATAACTTGGTGTTGCTGACTGGCTCCAACAGAACTCTGAACCTTGCCGTGGCTCAGTTCTGAAATGGTGTTAGTAGTTTGCCTGCCCCATGGGGGTAGTGCTGCTCTAACGTAGTCAGTGATCTAATCTAATATGGCAGATGGCACTAAGGATCAGTCCAGCTACATGGTGCCTGGTAAATCTAAACTCATCAATGTAGCACAAGTGTGCTCTCAAAAGGTCCTGCGTCCTCCAGTCTTAGAGGCCCACAGAAAGGGCTCTGAGAGGACAGAAGGGGGGGGGGCACTATGCAGTGAGGAGAGGAAAGAAGGATTGGATTGAGGGGAAAAGCAGCCCATGTGGAGGCCTCAGAGCCAGGCTGTCCTGGAGCAGCCATCTGCCATGGGGGAAGAGGAAGGGGCAGGATGAGATTGAACAGGCAGGAACTCTGGTAGTTCTGTTTGTACAGAGCTGTAACTTGGAGAGGAGTGGAGACCTCACCCCTCACCCCTTTGCTGATGTCCTGCTGGGTAGAAGATGCTGACTCAAAAGCCTGTTCATGCCAGAGGATCGTACTTCCTGCAGTCCATGCATGCCTTTGTGTGGAGTCAGGATGTGACTCCCTCAATGTCCCATCCTCCCCACCCCCACCCCCCATGCCCTGTCCCTGGTCACATTAGCCTTGAGGGCAGAGGTGACTTCCTCTGCCAGATGGTGCTGGGTTGGGAGCATTGTAATGCTCTGTGACCGGTAGCTTTTCACAGTTGAGAAAGGAAGTCATGGTCCAGGATGCATGTGTGGTGTCTCATCCGCAGCAAGAGCCCAGATCTGGACCATGTTGGTGCGGAGCCAGGGAAGGCCTCCAGGGAAGTGGTCACTCAGAACGCCAGGACTTACAAGTGCTCGCTTTCATGGTCAAGCCCTCTAACCCTGCCAAGTGGTTGAGTCACACAGAATTCTCCAGGAACATCCGGGATGTCCGTTACTCATTTCAGAGCTGGCTACCCAAGGGTGACCGGACAAAGCCTTTCCTTCCGGCTAACTATTCCCTTTTGGAAATGAACTTTTCTCAGCCCAGCATTACATTTCAATAAAAGAACCCTGCTTCCAAGTCTTCTACAAATGAAGCAATAGAAAATTCAAACCATATGCCTGCAATTCCCAAGTGGTGAGGTGACACACTTTCAGAATACTTCTGTGGAGGTTACTTGTTTTTTAATTAATTGTTACTAGTGATGTTGATGGCCTTCCTGTTAGATCTCAAGGGTATGTGGTGTATGTGGTGTGTGTGAATGTATTTGTATGTGTGGTATGTAAGTATGTGTGTACATGTGTGTGGTATACGTGTGTGTTCTTATGGGTATGTACACGTTGTGTACAGGCACACGTGGAGGCTGGAGGTTGATGTTGGGTCTCTTCCTCAATCTCTCACCTCATTTTCTAAGACGGGGTTTCCCACTGACCCTGGAGCTCTCTTATTTAGCCTATTGGCTGGCCAGCAAGCTCTAGGGATCCTCCTGTCTCTGTCTCCCCAGTGCTTGGCTTACAGGCACATACTTCCATGCCCATTTTTACATGGGTGCTGAGGATCTGAACTCAGGTCCCCAGGCTTGCACTGCAAATTCTTTGCCTGCTGAGCTGTCTCCCTAGCCCTACATCTCAAAGTTTTAGATGGTGGTTACAGCAGCATAAATGCAGTTCAAACAGAAGGACTGAGCTCTTTGACCCAGTTTAGTCTTTTTATCCATGGCGATTTTCAGTTGGTGTGACATACCCCTTACTCCCGCCAAAATGGAGCTACAGATTTTCCTTAGGCAGCAGATTTACTTGTGGCAGTGTGGCTTGTCAGAACCACTAGCCTGGTGACCGAGAACAGTAGCTGGCAGCTGCTCTCATCGGTAACTCACACGGTAACTACATGCCAAACACATGCTGTTTGCCTGGGGGACGTCCCAAAACACGTCCGTGTTCTGTGTTTGCACTTTCCAGAGTCTCTTGTCATTTGATTTATGCTGTATCAGCTGGTCTGACAAGTTTTATGGGATGGTAAATACTCGGCGTTTATCTGCAAGACTGGTTTAAACGAGTTTGGTTTACTGAAATCCACCTGGGCCCTGCGTGGGCTGATCACCTACAACACTGACCGCTATAGAGGGGAAAAGAGGTTTTTGCCAAGAGGTGGATTGTTAGGGAATTGGGAAACTCCTGACTCGTTGTGTGAGAAGGAAATGGTAAGATGTGGTCATTTGGACTTCATTTCTTGATAAACACAAATGATTCGGAGAGAAGAGACGGGGTGAACCTCACTTGCCTGTATCAGTGCCTTTATGAGTTTAAGTACATGAATTAGAAGTGTGTTTGCAGACAAAGCCCATCCAGGAAAGGCTTAACCTGTGCCAGCCAGGTGTTCCCCTCCATCAGAGGTAGTCTTCTTCATTTGCTTTCAGTGACATTGAGAGCTTCCAGTCCACAGCTACAAATGTAAAGTCCATCATTCTGAAGCTAAAGATGGTGATTAAAATGCAGACTGGTGTGAAGATTCCCTCCAAACAGCAAAACTGTATCTCCCAACAGTGGCTGGGCCCTGAGTGTTCCCTTGTTAGGAACTCGGGCTTGAACTGATGGAATGCAGAAGCAAAAAACAGCCGCCACTCTTTCCAAGAGTCACACGTGAAATCACTCCCCTTCCTGAAGACACAAAGACCAGAATCTTTGAGCGCCGCAACTTTGAACCTTCACCTCTGCCTTTACCATGTCTTACAAGTGGATGGGAGTCACGTTCACTTTTAAGTTCTTGACCATTCTGCCTCTAAGATAAATGCCTGCTGGCACATAATATCCATGTGAAACAAACACTCTGGGACTTCTGCACTGTCCTAAGGGGAATCGGGGAGGTTGGAGAGCCAGCCGCTCAGGAGGTCATCTGTGACAGATTCCCTTTCCTTCGCAATGAGTCCTTTGCATGTCAAGCTGCATCCCCTCTTGCGGCTCCCCTCCTGACTTGACTTAAACTCTGGGGGAACAGCTTCCCATGTGTGACAAAGGGGCAACATAGCAGTACTTGATTTGATGCCAAGAAAATGTAAAATCCAGTGCTGCAGAAAAGATCACCAAGGAGATGAGTCCATGACCCGGTACTTCATTGGCAGAGAGCAGATGGCTACCTCTGGAAACACTAGAGGCAGGATGGGCTGGCCCGATGGACTTACACTCATTCATTCCCTCATGAGAGTCCTGCTCTGTGCAGGGGGAGGGAGCATCTTTGCCCACAGGGGTTTACATTCAGGTAGGAAGGAGCGTGGAGTATCCCAAGAACAGAAGCATCCGTAGTAAATACAAGGAGCTATTTGTGAGAGTAAGAAAGCAGTGAGGGTCACCCCTTGCCTCCGTGGGGCAGAAGAGATGGAAGGAGGCACTGAGGGGCCCGGCAGCTCTAGATCCATAAAAGACACTGGTTTCGACCAGCACATCAATGCTGTGCCTAGCATTGATGCCATTATGTAACCTGTGGGATGGGCTGCTCTGGCCAGAACAGAATCTTTTTTTTAGGTGTGAGTGTATTGCCTACATGTTAGTGCACCTGTGTTATGCAGTGCCTGAAGAGGTCATGGGGGGGGGGGCGGGGTCTCCTTACACCTTAGAGACACCAGGTCAGAACCACCGTTGCAAACAGAGCCCCATCCTTCCACACACTCTGTCTGCTCCCTCACATCTCCCTGCCTGTCCAGTTGAAACATCAGCTTCAGGGTGTTGATGAAAATTGCTAAGTCCCTGAGTGCTGGAGGACAGAGAAGGTGAAATGCCCATCAAGGGTGTCCATGAGTGACATCATAGCCTTACACTCATTCCTTTGGCTCTCCAGAGACAGGCACACAGAAAGGATATGGAGTTTGGGTACATATCGGTCTTTGGTCCCACTGTTAGATGACTCTATCCTGTCATGGAGTTTAATAGAGGATGAGGTCATGGCCAGTTCCCACCCACATGTCAGTTTCCTTTGCCTCATCCCATGTTATTGCTGTGTCCCAGAGACAGGTCTTGACCATGCAGATATCAATAGTAAACTGGGACATAGCATCTCCTGCACCCCCATGCATTAAGTGGCCCCTCTCACCTTCCTGGTAGAGACACAAAGCTAACCTCAGAACCTTGAACTGTTCAAGCTACTGTGATGATTTTATTGGCCGGATTCTACCAAGCTTTGCTATTTTGGGAGCTGATTTCTCTTTACAAGTCATATGTTTAGTGCTATACATACGTGTATATGTGCACATGTGTGTATATAGGCCAGGTTGCAAGATACCAGGTATCATCCACTTTATTTTCTGAGATGATCCCTCATTGAATCTAAAGTTTACTGATTTGGCTAGGAGACTGTAAGAGGGAGACAGTACCATGCCAGATCTAAGCTGATTATGGTTCTAGCTTTAATGAGTGACTCCTAACTTGGCCATTTGGGTTCCAATGTTTGCCAAGTAGGTAAAACTCAGTCTTGGTGTTAAAATCTATGAAATGCAGGCATGTACCATGTCATTTTAGAGAGGGGCTGGGAAGATGGCTCAGTTGGTAAAGTGCTTTGCAGGACCTGAGTTTTGGATCCCCAGCATCCATATAAAAAGCCAGGCATAGCGGATGTGGCTATAATCAGCACTGGAGAGGCAGAGGCAGGAGGATCCCTGGGGCTCACTGGCCAGCCAGTCTAGCCAATGAGTGAGCTGCTTACATACCAGGCTTTGTAAAGGGGGTTGAGACCTACCTTGCAGGTCTCTAGCTGGTTAAGTGATGGGGTCCAGCTTGTGGCTTCTTAAGAAGTTTTCCTCTGACCAGCCTGCCTTAAAGCAATGAGGCCCCTTTAATTCTGTTTGTGTCCTACCACACAAACCACTGGACTCAGTGTGCCATATCCATTTCTTTGCTTTCAGTTTCTCTTGTAATTTATAAGCGAGGCTGTTTGTAGAATTGAGTCACCACCGTACCCCCAGTGCCTGGCAGACTCCAAGTATACAGTAGATACGTGTGTGTGGCTAAGGTCCCAATGCAGTGTTGGAAGGAAGCAAGGAAAGAAACAAGTTTGGATGGTTGGAAGGGAGCCAGAGCCAGATGGGCAAGTGATACACAGAGTCCCTGCAAAGGCACGAGTGGCCATTTCATTGTCAGTAATCCCTGTGCCTGGGAGCCAAACTGCACAGATCAATTGAGTCTAAGCACTTTGATTAAAAGCTTCCATCACAGAGGATTGATTAAAGTACAAAGTTCACCAAGACCCTCCTTCCCCCCATCCATCCCTTTCCGGTAGGTGGGTGAAAATGAATCAGAGGGCAGAATTCAGAAGAATTAGGTCGATACTAGGCAGAAGCCAAGGCTGTCTGAGGTGTACGCGCTGTGAGTGAAGATGAGTCAGCCATAGGATGGGAAGGCGACACTGAAGAGACAGAGTCCTCAATTTTTTCTGTAACGGGGTTGGTTGCAGCTTGGGCTAGTACGAAAGGAGCTTGAGGAGGCCTATTGAAAAGTATTTGGTCTGGACTGTGGAGGCTAGGGCAGAGGTCACAGCTAGGTGCACTGCCCCTCTTGCATGGAGCTAGGGTCACAGTGGTGAGTCATGGCTATGTTTGCTGTCGAATGAGGTGGTCCTTTCTGCTAGTAGCTAATAAGAACCAGGATAGGCTGAAGAAGACCAGGTGGAGTTGAAGAGGAGGGGAGCCTTGCCCATCCACCAAGTCTGATGGGACTCTAGGTTACACTGTTACCTGGGAAGGTCAATGAACCCTCACTGGAGTTGGGAGTAGAGAAGGGCACTTTTCAGACTCTGAAAAGTCATGTCCTGGTCATCAGAAGTGATGTGAGAGGAAGTGCCCGAAGCCAGTGTTGGTGTGGAAGAGAAGGCAGGCCAAGACCACATGGCCAGGCACAGTTGGATCTGCCAGTCTCCCTACTTCCTCACAGTCATCAGCAGAAATCCCTGTGTCCAGGATACAAGAGCCCTCCAAAGCCTTAACACTACAGCTCCCAAGCATGGGCTCTCTTTCCCTGGAGAGAAAATGCACTTTTTTAAATGGCCATTTCCTGAGCTCTCTGGCTGCTGTAACCCTCTCTGCCAGGTCCTGTCCTGCTGTGCACAGTGGCTATTGGGTTCTAGGGTGCTGTGACCTGTGTGCGTCATCGCTGCCTTACAGAAATTGGCCTTGGTTGAAGCCGGTGCTTATTCCTAAAGGGAGCTTTCTGGGACTGAAAGTAAAAGATTTCTGCATAGTTCATTTGTGATTTCTGTGTCTCTGTCTCTGTCTCTATCAGAGAGAGAGAGAGAGAGAGAGAGCGCTTTTCCATGTCAATCATTACTACTCCTAGGAGCCGGCCCTAGCTCGCCTTTCGCACTGGAATTGTGTGGGATGTTGCTAAAAGAGAAAGCTTCCCCTCTGTAGCTAGCCAGACAGCTCCTTCCTGTTCTGAACTAGATCTGATTGCATAGCCAGGCCTAATCTCTTGAGAGGCTGCACATACTTTAGGTCCTGGATCCAGGCCTCCAAAACAGAATGAGTGGGCTTACCCTGAGTTGGGCTGGGAGAGAATGCTAGCTGTTGATCCTCCAGGCTTCCACCAGCCAGCTCCCATCCTGAGTCAGCTGGGTATCACTTCCCTAGACACGTATCGCCCCTTAACCCCAGAGCCCAGTGCTGTTCAGAGAGGAAGGCGCCGGTGTGTTCTGCCACAGGTGCTAAACCAGCCCCGGGGATCTGCTTTGAAAGAGTGAACTCTGCAGGAGACCCTTACGGCAACTGCGGCAAAGACGCCAAGAGCTCCTTCACCAGATGTGAGATGAGGTATGAGCCCGCACACCCGACCGCCCATTGCTGAGCCTTCTCTCAGGGCTTAGGCCTGCTTCCAGCAGCCCCTCCCTTGAGCTTGTTTCCTCTTACCTTTCCAGAGATGCAAAGTGTGGAAAAATCCAGTGTCAAGGAGGTGCCAGCCGGCCAGTCATTGGTACCAATGCCGTTTCCATAGAAACGAATATCCCACTACAGGAAGGGGGTCGGATTCTGTGCCGGGGCACCCACGTGTACTTGGGTGATGACATGCCAGACCCAGGACTCGTGCTTTCAGGAACAAAGTGTGAAGAAGGAAAGGTAAGACCCAATTCTCACTTGCATCCTATCGTAAATCTGGGACAGAGCCTCCTGAAAGATGGCCTGGTCAAGAACTGGGGAATGAGTTCGGTCTGTTTTCTTAAAGCTGCCTCTCAGAACATGGTCTCTGGAATCCAGTTCTTTGCACCAGAAGAAAAAGTCATTAAGGCCAAGCTTTGAGTGTGACCATTGAGGGGCAGATCTGGAAACATGAGTTGTCCTCTCCCTTTAGTGTAAGTCATTTTTACACCCTGCGCATCGTGAGGGCTACCTACCAGGAAATTACTTTGGAGAGAAGCACGACAACTGAGTAGATTGCTTTTGGAAATGTAATGTGGTAATTGGCACAGAGAGATAAGAGATGGTTTATTACAGAGTCAAATATGAGTGACCATGACCCAGAAACATAGATTTTAGTTATTAATTCCATGTTCCAGTATAGAAACAGAGTTTTTATAGAAACAGAACAAAGCCATAATCCAGGCACTTTTTAAATACGTCGGTGGGAGGTGATTTACAGCAAAGCAGATAGACCTCTGCTGGAGACATCAGATGTTATCTGATGACACTGTTAGCTTTTGGGTGGTTGGAAGTGAGTGGTCTGCTAAGTTAAAACCTTCCACAGGAAAATGGTTACTCTATTTGCACATTCCAAAAGATTTGCCTAATGGTCACAAAGTTGTTAGGTCATGTACAGAGGACGGCTTAGATGGCTATCAGCGGGTTAAGGTGCCCAAGATGATTTAGCTCTGGGCTTGTAACATTCCAAACTCCCTTTTCATTGATGTTCTAATAATCAGCCTTACGGAAGATTCAGTTTGAAGTTGAAGATTCTGGGAACTTTAGTCCACCATAGGGTGTGGGTTTGTACATACATGTACATGCATGTATGGGGTGTGCATGCATGAGCATGCATATGGCAACCAGAGGACAATCTTAGGTTTCATTCCTCCAACCCCATCTACTTTGTTTTTTGAGACGGTCTCTTAGCATCTTGAAACTTTCCAGGTGGACCAGGCTGGCCACGCGGTGAGCCCCAAGGTCCCTTCTGACTTCAGCTCCCCAGCACTGGGATAACAAGCTTGTGCCACCGCACGTGCAGCTTTTTAATGTGGGTTCTGGGACTAACTCAGCCCTTCTGATTACAAGGCAAGCACTTTACCAACTGAGCCATCTCCCAGCCCCCTAGCAGAAATGTGACATCTCAGTGAGCAGGATCAGGGGTGCACACCTTGCTCTCTGTGAGCTGTTGGGGTCAGATGGTGAACCCAGAAAAGTTTTACTTGATTAGAATGCTGCTGTGTACTAAACCACAAGCACCTCTCCCTTGTAACCATGTGGGAGAGAAAGCTGCTGAGTGCCGGGTCTGGAGCTTGTAGCACACTGCTGAAGAGACAGACTCTTCCAACCAGCCAAGGCCATGGAGCAAATCCCTGCCTCTGCAGCAGCTGGATACACAGAGGAGCTGCTTCCTACCATCGGAGCCTTCTACAGAGGCTTTATGTCATTGATGGTCCCACAACACCTATAGACATTATGCAAAAATCTGTTCTAATTTCTCATCTCCAATAAAGCCACCTGAAATGCCATTAAATATCAAAACTCACTATTGTTCATGGTGGACTTTGTCTCAGGTCAGACACCAGCAGCCATATGTGAGGCAGACAGAAAGCACACTGTTATGCTGCATCTGTGCTAACTGAAGAATTGTTCTCCAAGCTTCCCTTGCTTTATCTCTTGTGTGATCATAGGACTGCAGGTGTGTGCGTGTTGTGTGCATTCGTGTGGAAGCCAGAGGTCAGCCTTGGATGTCGTTGTCAGGTGCCACCCACCTTGTTTTTTGAGACAGTGTCTCTCATTGGCTAGGGCTCACCATTAAGTTAGGCTATCTGGCCATCAGGCTTCAGAGCACTACCTCTTTCCATAAGAACACACTGTCACATCTGGGTTTTGTCCAAGGGTTCTAGGATTTGAACTCAGCTCCTCAGGCTTGCAGAGCAAGCACTTTATGCACCGAGCCATCTCTCCACCCCCTGCCTCCTCTCTCATGCCCATGTGTGAGGGAAGGAAGCAGGGTGCTCAGGTGTGTGCTGTGTCTCTCCTGCAGATCTGCCTCAATCGTCAATGTCAGAACATCAGCATCTTCGGCGTTCACGAGTGTACAATGCAGTGCCACGGGCGAGGGGTAAGTAGGCTCAGCGGCCTCTCCCAGCCAAGCGAGACCATTGTTCTGCAAAGGTTCTCGCCGTCCGCAGCTCTTAAAGAGAACAGTAGTCAGTATTTTCTTCCAGAGGTGTCAGACATTCTTTGACCTTTACATAGCAGGAGAAATGTCACTTTCATTTAACAAAGGAAACCGGATTGAGTGGTAATTATCTTTTGAATTAACATTCTGTGATGTAAAGAAAGAATTTTGTCACCTTCAAAGTAATTTCCGAGCTAACCTTGATTCGTGTAGGGTCCTCATTAGCATTTCAAGCAGGTCTGTCCCTCCTGCTTACAATGTTCCAAATGTGTCTTCACCAAAATACTTGCAAGAGGGATTAAAACAGAAGACAGCCTATTCCCCAGCCAGGGGTTCTTGGACTCCCCAGCAGGCCTTTGACTACCACACACTGCTTTAGCGAAGCAAGGGAATGTAATTGTTTAGACTATAATTAATTTTTCCTGATGTGCTTAATTTTTTCCAATGGGATTATATTAATCTTGATTAGCCCCACCAGTGATGCATTTGTCTTCCTGATGCCTTTCGACAGAAATCATACTCTAAATTCTGTTTTTAGACTTGCTAGACACTTGGGATTATGGGAGTTTTTTTTAACCATGATGGATTGCTGGGCTGCCTCAGACTGACTTGATGTTGCGTTTAGCTGACTCTCATGATTTCTTTCTACACGCCATAGATGAACTAGTCTGGCCCTTTTGTTTTAGTGATGAGACCAAGGCCCATGTGGCAGCAATGGTGTGTCCCCAGTAACTGGCTGGTTCAAGCCGGCGAGGCCAATGCCTCTCCTCCCAAACTCTCTGGGTCTCATGAGCATGCTGGCAAGCCAAGGCCCTTCCTTTCTGGAACAGCTAGCTATGACTTAGTGTGATAGTTAATCCCAGTTGTCAATTTGATGGGAGCCAGAATCTCCTGGAAGACAGGTTGTACCTGAGTAAATATTCAGCCTGACTTTTAGCATTAGTTTAAGGCCAACAGTGGACCCTAACTCTGAGGCTCCCGTTCCTCCTGGTGTCTCACAGAACTGTGCTCTCAAGCTGGACTTCATCCATACTTTTATCAAAGCTGTCTTTCCAGCAATAACTTGAGAAGTAGAAGCTAGGGTCCACCCTGTCTTATCAGAGGATCAGGGCTTTATCCCTTGGTCTAAAATAGCTCACACACAGTATCAGGTAGACTTCTCACTGTTTTCAATGAGAACAGCATGCCAGCACACTGCTTTCAGTGTTTAGATATGTTCATATGTCAAGCACACCCACATTCAGTCACTATCTTAGGTGGAGGGTAAAGTCCCTCAGGACCCCACTTTGCCCTCCACCTAAGATAAAGGAAGGAAGGAAAGAGGGAGGGAGGGAGGGAGGGAGGGAGTTCTAGTCTTCTCATAATCCATTGGTTCATGTCTAGCTCAATAAACGATTTAGGTATCCATAGGGAATCCAAGCAGAAAAGCCACCATGAGTGACTCTTGGCAAGGAGGCGAACAGGCTCCTGGGCCCCTCATGGAGATACTGGTCTCCCATCAGAGTGCTTATGGAAGAACAGCAGTCTCAAAGCCCTCCTCTCCTGCCTCCAAGGCATCCCTTTCTTGCCCTACCAGCACCATCTTCACAAGTTAGAGTTCACCCCTGATAGGGAGGCAGAGAATGGCCACAGGAGGGAAGAGAGCTAGCATTTCAGGGGATGAGCTAGGAGAGAGGCTACAGAGGTGTCAGCAGATTCCCTGTGTCACCATCCCTGCCTGCTGGGGCCTCCCTGGACCACCCATCTGAAGAAGACAGGGTTGTGCCACAGCCATCTCATTCCGGGTCCCTAAGCGGGTCCCTCTTCACCAGAGACGCAACACCACCACGTTCCTGGGTTTAAAAAGAAGGGACCTGTGATGTGAGGCTCTCTGTGGCAGGCTGTGGTGCTCCCCTTGCCTCAGTCTCTGCCTCCCGTGTGGTGCTGTTTTAGGCTGGTTCTCAGGGTCTCACACTTACTGATCTAGATGTGTTGGTGAGGGACTCTGGCCACAGCACCCTTGCTTTTGTTATGACGTTTCATTTGGGCTCAAAGACATTGCAGCCCACCCAATAGGCATGTGCTAACCCTGTCCCTTCTGGGCATTTGTCTCCATTCCTGTCCCCAAAGGTGTGTAACAACAGGAAGAACTGCCACTGTGAGGCACACTGGGCCCCTCCCTTCTGTGACAGGTTTGGCTTTGGAGGAAGCACAGACAGTGGTCCCATCCGACAAGCAGGTGAGTGAGGCCCCAGCATCCCTGGGAATGGATGCTGAGCTGCCAGGCCGGGGCATCTGATGGCAGTCTTCCTCACCTTGAGTGGCACTGGGGCATCTGATGGCAGTCTTCCTCACCCTGAGTGGCGCTGAAGTTTCTCTCAGGTTCTAAATGTTTTTGTTCTTGCCTGATCTTGCCTGCAGCTCCCGGTTCTCTGCTGTGGCTGAGACATGAAGTTAGCCACTTCCTCTGCTCGTGACACTTTACTCTCGACTAAGGCGGTGTCCACAGGGAACTGCCAAATGAGTACAAGTGTCACTGACATATCAGAGGACTTTGTAAAGGCCAGCTTATGTGTGCTGCCATTCCAAGCTCGAAAGGCTGATACCTTTTAAAACACTGACCTGCTCACACACAGAGACACACACACAGACACACACACACACACCCTATATACCAATAACAACAAAAAAACTATGAACAGAAAGCCACCTCTTAATAAAGAGGATGGTCACTGCAGCTGAGCTAGGGAGATGACCTTTGCAGTAAAGTGCTTAACCACAGCAAGCATGAAGGCGTGGTGGTACAAGCCTTTAGTTCCAGCACTAGGGGAGGCAGAGGCAGGTGGATCTCTGTGAGTTCAAGGCCAGCTTGGTCTACATAGTTCCAGGCCAACTGGGGCTACAGGGAGACCCTAAAAGACCAAAAAAAAAAAAAAAGTTGAGCATAGTGGTACATGCTTATAATCCCAGTACTCAGTAAGCAGTGATGGGAACATTCCCTGGGGATTGTTGCTAGCCAGTCTAGCAAAATCAGTGGCTCCAATGTTCAGGGAAATACCCTGTCTTAAAAAAAAAAAAAAGCTAGAGAATAATTGAGGAAGAGATACTCTGTGTTGACCTCTGACCTCCACAAACACCACACACAGGAAAGGCAATGGTTGTAGGAGGCACAGCACTCACGGTGGGCATCTGCACTAAGCAGCGAGTTCTGTGAGGACATCGTGCTAATTAGTGTGCACTGTACCACCTGCTCCCTCTACGGTTCAGAAACGGCATCATGATTAAAGGGCTGAAGGCGGCAGGAAGGTTAAGTAACTGCTCAAAATCCTACAACTATGTCCCCAAAGAAGCCCTGGGTAGCAGGTGGGCCTTCCCTTCATTCACGTCTCCAAAGAAAACCTTTAGAAGTTATCTCTTACTGTGTTCTCTGAGTAGTGGTCAAGAAATTAAAAGGCAGGTCTGAAAAACCCAGCACAGAACTGAGGACAGGCAGCAGGCCCCAACCTTAGCCGAGGAAACTATTGGACAGCTGATCATGGCTGAGTGAGGGAGAGCTGATCTTCTTTAAGGGAGTGACTCTAGATAGGCTGAGTGGACCCCAGTGGATGAACTTGCACAGAGGGACAACTTGACTCGATAGGCCTTAACATGTATGATAGAATACATGAAATCCAATGGGGGGGGCTATAAGGGATACAGATGGGAGAGGGGGTCTAGATGTGTGAAATGCAGGGCTGGAGAGATGGCTCAGCAGTTAAGAACACTGGTTGTTCTTGCAGAAGACCTGGGTTCAAATCCCGGCACCCGCCCCCATGTCGACTAAGTTCCAGGAGACTATGAACATCTCTCAAAATGTCTTTGAACTGTGGTGTCAGGCCTTGGGAGATTGCTCAATGGTTAAGAATACTGCTTGTTGTTGCAGAAGACCCAGGTTTGAATCCCAGCACCCACATGGAAGCTATCAACTGTCTGAAACTCCAGTCCCAGGGGATCCGACAGCCTCTTCTGACCTCTGCAGGCATTGCATGACATGAGTGCACTTACCTACATGCAGGCAATACAACATACACATAAAATAAATAAAATATAAAAAATGTATGAAATGCACAAAAAATCATTAAGAATATACATTTTTAAAAGATAAAAGGCAGGTCTGAAGGATGTCCCTTTAGAAGGAAAAGAAGTTCCGCAAAGAGGCAGGCCACCAGCAGGGGGCGCAGCGGGGGCTGGAGCAGATGACGATGGCTGAGCTGGTCTGGATCCTTGGCATTCTTTACTCCTGGTGACGCTCAGACCAGGGCTAATGGTGCAGCAGAGGAGATCACATGTCCCCAAGCCTGTTGTGACTGGCAGTGCTGACTGTGTGGCTCTGCCATTGTTTCCATGACAACAGACACAACACCATTCTGAAGGCCAGCAGGCCTCAGGAGGGGAGGACCAGCCTAGAGGGCATGTGTGCCAAATCTGCCCGAGGGATGACAGGGAATTCCTGGTCACTCTTCCCCTAGGAACAGTGAGTAGAAAGTCCTGACTGTTAGTGAGCAGCCCTTGCAGTGGTTGGGGGCGGGGCAGTATCCTCTGGTGTCCTCTTTCCTTGATGACATCTCAGCCTTGACAACTGTTTCTTGCTGCATCAATCCTGTAATAGAACTTCCAAGTGTCTATTATACAAAAATGCTATTTATTGTTTAATCCATCAAGGACCCCACCACCCATCCTGTCTCTGTTCCGGTAAGCCCAGTGTCACCCAAGTTCCTATAGATGACCAGCATGCTCTTTCTGTCTCCAGGGTGGGCATGCATAACCAGTACACACAGACTTTAGGGTGTCCCCAAAGCTGAGGAACACACAGAGCCCCCATGTTCCACAGTATTGAGTAGGAGTTGACTCTACCCTCCACTGCATCATGTGATAGAAGTAGGCATTGCAAATCCTGCCCCTCAAACATGCACTGCAGAGGGGTCAGCATGAACCAGTGTCTGGGCCTCACTGTCCCACAGTTTGATACTCAACATCCTGACCATGGCTCATCCATTAAGTCAGCATGGACCAACACATGTTGGTACTCTTCTGATCCTAGAGAGGCATTAAGGAGATGACGTGGCATGACAAATGCCAAGGTAGGGGCAGAAAGGGTACTGTGGGCAGACAGCAGCCCCCCATACATAGAACAGTGTTGGAAGGATAGCAGGGACCTTGTGTTGAGATTTGCGGGAAGGGCTACGGTGTAGCTCAGTCAGAGAGTACTTGCCTCTGATACATGAAACCCTGGGTTCAATCCCTAATACAGTATAAATCAAGCATGATCATGCACATCCCAGCACTAGGGAGGCAGAGACAGGAGGATCAGGAGCTCAAGACCATCCTAGGCTACATGAGAAGTTCCTGGCCATCCTGGGTTCTATGAGACCCTTTCTCAAAAAAAGAGAGCTCCACAGGGTGTGGGAAGAGTTCAGGTACGGAGGACTGACCACGCCAAGGTCTAGATTCAGGGTGAGGCAGGCTGGTGTGACAGCCGCAGAGGGAGGGGATGCAAGTGGCCAGTCCACAGGCTACAGACAGGAGCAGAGGAATCTCAGCTGCCTAGATGCATGGAGTGGGCAGCTAATGCAGGAGGTGGCTTTTTCACTCATGGAGACGGACGACCTGCTAAGGAACTAATTATGAGACCCTTTCTCAAAAAAAGAGAGCTCCGCAGGGTGTGGGAAGAGTTCAAGTACAGAGGACTGACCACGCCAAGGTCTAGATTCAGGGTGAGGCAGGCTGGTGTGACAGCCGCAGAGGGAGGGGATGCAAGTGGCCAGTCCACAGGCTACAGACAGGAGCAGGAGCAGAGGAATCTCAGCTGCCTAGATGCATGGAGTGGGCAGCTAACGCAGGAGGTGGCTTTTTCACTCATGGAGACGGACGACCTGCTAAGGAACTAAAAATTACAGTTTAAGACATTTTTCTGCTCACCGTTCAAATTTGTTATGAGGCAACAGAACTGTAGCTGAAGCCCCAGATTCTACTAAGAATCTAGAAACAAATGGCATTTGACCAGGAGACTACAAGCTCTTCCACTGAGGCACGGCCATCATGGTAGCCCCCATGGGCCACATCAGCTGAGGGCCAAGTTCAGAGACAGGGGGATACAAGGTACTACTCCAAGATTCAGGGCAGTTACTGCTCTGATGGCCAGCCCCTGAGTGCTGACAGGAGGTGGGGGAGGGGGAGCCTGGGTCCCAACAGCCTGCAAGGACTGTAGGCACCTACTATATGTAGCCCGAACACACCTAGGGTAAACAGGCTAGTTGAGATCCCTGTTCTCCAGGACTTGGCAAGCTGTACACCATCACAAAGAAACCTCCCATAATTCCTGGTGTCTCCTCAGAACATCTCCAGCCATCACTGCCCTCAGAAGCTAGGGTGAGAGTTTGCTGTTCATTTTTTAAGCCCTTGACAAGACCCTTCAGTGTGCTAAATTAAAGGGCATCAAGTTACAACAGGAAAAAGTTCTTTTTAAAAAAAAAAAAATCCTAGGATGCCTTCAAACTCACTATGGGGCCAAACAAATGACCTCAAACTTCTGATCCTCCTGTCTCTGCCTGGCAAGTGGTGGGGTCACAGGCATGTACCGCCACACCCGCTTGGTTGGTTTATAGGGTGCTGAGGCTCGAACCCAAGACTTTGTGCATGCTAGCCATGCACTCTACCAGCTGAACTCTACCACTCAGCCCTACAGTTTCATAGGGAATTTGCACAACATTCTCCCAACAGTGAGGACCTTGCCCCCAAAGTCTGCATTGTTAAGTCCCTAACATAACGAATCCAAACACGGGGTCACTTCATTTAAGCTGCTGGGTTTTTTTACTCTGTAATTTGAGATGTTTAGAAATTGAGTAGCATTTTTAAGAAAATAAAAGCAAATAACTATAGCACACGGAGCGGGCTGTCACAGAGCAGGCTGGAAGATGACAGTTTCGAGTCTCCCATCCCAATAAATAGTCCCCTGGTACTTTGTGTGGCTACACAGCTCGTTCGGCTGTTGCTGTGCCTGGGGGAGTCTGTGTGGTCCAGCCAGGGTCCCACCTACCAGACCAAGTTCCTGCACTAGCAAGTTCCAGAGCTGTCACACATGAATGATGGCGACATAGACTGGGACCTCAAACACGACCTTTGAAGTAAGACTAATTTAATAGGATGCCATTCGGGGATTTACTCCTCCGTCTCTGTTCCTTCAAAGTTCACTCTGCCATAAATGTCACGGTGTGATGTCTCCTGTATTTTATTGGAACCACCTCCTCCCCTGAGTCAACTGTGTTTTGTTTCAGATAACCAAGGCCTGACTATAGGAATCCTGGTGAGCGTCCTGTGCCTGCTGGCTGCTGGTTTTGTGGTTTATCTCAAAAGGAAGACCTTGATCCGGCTGCTCTTTGCACATAAGAAAACCACCATGGAGAAGCTAAGGTGTCTCATCTGTCTGAGAAATGGTGTAGCAAGAGTGTCCAACAGAGAAAGGCAGAATGTCTGGATCGTAACACTGGGTCTTTAGGGTTTATTTTATTTTCATTTTGGTAGATTTCTGCCAGGCCAGCTGTCTCTTGAAGTCTCCCTTCAAACTATGTTCTGTCCGTTACATAAATAAGCAGGGTGTTGGTGAATTCTGCTTGGAAGCTTCCTTCATTCTTGCATTAATTATTATAAGACACACAGACACCGAAATGTTTTGGGCCCAGATATGCTTAGAGACACTACTACTAAAATGCCAGCCTCATATGAAACATCCCCCACATGTCCAAAGAATGCAAACTTTCTTATGGGTTTCAAGAACTAATTTGACAGAATAATGGCTGGGTGTAGGGGCAGAAAAATCAATATTTTTCATCTCATAAATGTGTTAGATAATTTTTTCCTCTGAATGTTTAATCTTATAGAGTTAAAATAAATACCATTCTAAGCATCACCACGAAGAATATATGAAAATTAAGGTAAAGAGAAAGGGTAAGCCCCGCGGTCAGCTTGTGCTGGTGCCTTCCAGGTGTGTGCGCCCTTCCCGGACACCCAATGGCTCTCCCCCAGGCCAGGCTCACCCCACCCATCTCGGAAAAGGCCTTCTGACAAGCAGACCACTACAGTCCAGCATTCCCAAGGTAAGAAACAAGCCCATGAAGATGTGAGCTTTATAATACAAGATTGCATGGGGATGTGGCTTTCTATGATGCTGTGAAATGCTGAGCCATCGCCGTCAGTTCAAGCAGGATGTACTGAACCCATCCCTGAGATGGTCAGGGCTTGGAGAGAGGCCCCAGAGTAACATCTCGAGATCCCTACCAGATTCTGAGGAGGCAGTGTCCTCGCATGGCATGCGGTGTGGATATTACAAGTACGATCCCTCCCTGCAGTATCTCAACCTACCTTGTTCCCAGGAGGTCCCATTGGGAATGCACTGGGGAGCAGACTCGTGACATAGGTGACCCCTGTGTTTCCAAAGGCCATCAGCTGGGTCTGGGTGAGCTCTCTGGCCAGTGTCTAAATTCTACTGAGCCTCAGTTTTGCCAGCGCTGTGAAGGCTCTGTTTGCTCTATTATTTCAAAGAACTGTGTCCTTAACCCAAAGTATCCCACACTTCCCCACTGTCTCAATTTTTTGTTGTTTATCCCCAAGAATTCTTAAATACTGAATTCTCTAATGGTTTGAGTATGAAATGCCCTCCATGGGCCCTAGCCAAGAGGTGCTCTTTGGAGAGGTGAAGGTAAACATTAGGAAATACAGCCTAGTCCAAGGACGCAGATCCCTGGGGGGGGGGGGGCACTGTGTTTGAAGACTATACCTGCTCCCTGTTACTTCCTCCCTCCCTTTTTCCTATCCGTCACAAGGTTCTACCACACACTTTTGCCAAGCTGTTCTATCCAAGGGCTCAGGGCCAAGCAACCACAGGCTGCACCTCTGAAGCCATGAGCTTTAATAAATCTTTTCTTCCTCAAGCTGTTTATCAGGAGTTTGGTAATAGCGATGCATTGTCTGACCAGCACAAACTCGTTCAATGAAAGAGCAAATTATAATAGGGAACAAGACAGATATCAAGGAGTAAATGATTGGGGGGCTAGAGAGATGATTCAGCAGGTAAGAGTACTGGCTACCCTTGCAGAGGACCCAGGTTCGACTCCCAGCACCCACATGGCAGCTAACAACCATCCTTAACTTTAGTTCCAGGGGAATTCGCCCCCTTTTGACTTATGACATTGCATGACCCGGGTGCAGGCAATGTACTCATACATATAAAAATAACAGGTTTTAAGTGATTGGGAAGAATATTAGTCACATATTCAGGAGGCAGTATGCTGATTTACTGCCCTTGATTCAAAAATAGAGAGTGGGCTTGAATAGAGGAATTACTCTTGGTATTCTTCACCTCTGTTCATCTCTGAACATAGACCCACCAGCTAGAATGGTGTGCTTTAATGAGGGCTAAAAGCAAGAGCCAAACCTGGAAATGACCCAAATGTCCGTCAACAGGTAAAAGGGTTCAACATAGTGGGTTACTATGCAACAGTAAGAAGGGATCAGCCGCTGGCATACATAACATCAGGGGTAAAGCTCAAAGCGGTCATTCCGAGCAAAAGTAACCAAACAGAGTGTATCCTCAATGGTCCCATTTATGTACAACTTTATGCAAGCTAATTTACCATGATGCAAAGTGGGTCAGTGGGTGCCAGCGTCCAAGGGAGGGAGACGGAGGGAAGGTACGGGTGACAAGGAAACTCTTTGAGGTGATGGGCACATTGTCATGGTCACTCTGATAGCTTCATGGGTGTAAACATCAGTCAAGCCAGAGATAGTGGCACATGCCTACTATCCCAGTACATGGCGAGGCTCGGGCAGGAGGAGCTCTGGTTGAAGGCCAGCCTGGGCTACATAGTAAGAGCTTGTCACAAAACATAGATGCAGAAAAGGTCAAAATACTAAATTGTGCATATTAAGTACATGCAGTTAATCATGTATCAGTTATACCTCAATGAAGTTTGTTTTCAAATGGAAAGTGAGGGGCTGGAGAGATGGCTCAGCAGTTAAGAGCACTGGCTGCTCTTGCAGAGAGCCTGGGTTTGGTTCCCAGCACCCATATAAAGGCTAGCAACCATCTGTAACTCTAGGTCCAGGAGATCTGACACCCTCTTCTGACATCCATGGGCATTGCATGACACGGGCACACTTACATACATGCAGGCAATACACTCAAACACATAGAAAATATTTCTTAAAAAATAGAAAGCAAAAAAAAAAAAAGAAAGAAAGAAAGGGAGTAAGAGGTAGGAACCTAAAAATCAGGCATCGTCGCACCTGCTCTGGTCCTCCCTCTAAACACAAGGGAAGCTCGTCCAGAGACCAGGCCCTCGTTCCTCAGGCCATGCTCAGCCTTGTCTGCAGTGTCCTTGTGATCCAGCCAGTGTCTTGGACTTGGTACTTCCTCACCTATTTGTTAATTAAAACAGTTTGATTGGCTAATAGAGACGGGTCTACGTACATAGCAGATGCTAGCTTTATACTGAGTCATGCTCCAGCCTTCAAGGTGGTAAGCATTTTGGTTTTGCTATTTCTTTTAATCTACATAATAATGCATCTCTCTCTTCCAGCTTTGGGGGCGGAGGGGTGCTGCTTTTACAAGTATGAGATGTCACGCAGTCAGCTGTTACAGATGCACCAGCACTGCCCTTTGCTCAGGGGCTCCTGAAGTGGTGAAATGCTCACAGTGTGACTCTCTGCTTTGCCCCTGCAGGATGGGAGGTCCCCACAGCGCCAAAGCATTGACATCAGCAGACCCCTCCACACAGGAGCCCTCCCTCAGGCCCAGTCGCCTCAGCGAGTGCTCCCACCTCTCCACCATGCCCTGCGTGCACCTAGCGGGCCAGCCAGGCCCCTGCCCTCCAACCCTGCACTCAGGCAGGCCCAGGTACACCTCCAATGCTGACCAAATGGGATGTAGTTCAAATTCAGGTTCTGCTACTTGCTAATGTGTGTTTGGCCAAGTTGCTCAACTTAGTGCCTGTGTAAAATGGAATAATTCAGTTATTCAGATGGTTAACTGAGATAAATCACACACAGTGCTTAGAGCAAGACTGTGATATAACATTTTGAATATTTTAGTAACTTTTAAAATATTGAGAGTAGTTTCCATGCCAATGGAATTTATCATTTAAACTAGGGCTTCTGAAAATAATTTTCCACTTGGAAGTCATTTTTACCTGAGAATATTTTTTTTTCATAAATTTTTTATTGAATTTTTATGTATTTCATACAGAACATCTTAATCTTCTTTAAATCTCCTTCCCCACTGTGAGACTCCTATAGCCCCCCCCAACTGGAATTTATGCGTTTTTGTCATTTGTGTTAAGGCCTATCATGTCACGTTAGTGTCCCCAGACATCCTTCAATGCAAGTTCATCCACTGAGGTCTAGTCAACCTATCTGGAATCCTCCCTTTAAGAAGATCAGCTCTTCCTCACCCAGCAGTAATCAGCTGCCAATAGTTCTTCAGCTAAGATTGGGGCCTGCTGCCCATTTCCCCAGTCCTATGCTGGGTTTTTGTCTGAGTTTGCATGGGTCTTGTGCGTGCTGACACCATTGCTGTAGGTTCATATGAGCAGGTCCCAGGAGCCTATAGGACTCTATTTCCATATGGTCATGCACCTCCTCCCTGGCTCTTACAGTCTTTCCGCCCCCTCTTCCACAGTAACTCTGAGCCCTGGGTGGGTGGGTCCTGTCCAAGGACCCATACTCGGCAGACTCTGATTCTCCCCACTTTGGCCATTTGTGGCCTTTTGTGTTCCTGGCCCTCTGTTGTATGAGGGAGCTTCATTGATGAAAATTAGAGATGCATGAGTGTCCTCTTTAGCCCTTGTTCTATGTTCCATGAGCCTTAGGTGTAGAGATTGCATCCTAGATGTGTCACTTAGGCTTGGGCAATTCACAGACAATCTCTGTGTGTGACCAGTTGTAGAACTCTGTAATAATCTCTGTCTGTTGAAAAAGAAGCTTCTTTGATGAGTGGTGACTGGGATACTTGTCCATAAATTTAAGGATTTATATTTTGAACTTAGGAAGAAATTACATTTGTCTAGGAATGTGAAAGCCTTGGGGTTTTCTCTAAGATCTGTGACCTCTCCAGCCATGTGTATTTGGCTATGTTTACAGTACTACACATGAATTTCCTTCCACTGAGTGGGCTTTAAGTCTGATTAAGTCACAGTTGATTACCCCCAAGATGAAAGTGCCATTATTGTCCCCAATATAGTTTGCTGTGCCACTCATTGAGTGATTCTAAGGCCTTGAAGCTGGAGTTGAACCATCTGTTGATGTTCTCCCTTAGCTGCTTGCGTAGTGTTCTCCAAAGCTGTGAGAGTTTACCTTCAGGGGGCAGCTTCCAGGTCAGCTCCAGCTCCACTGCTCCAAATCTTGTCTTCAGCAATAGGGTCTTATCTTCAAGTTCTGGGAGGCAATCAAGGTCTAAGGAAATAGCCTGTGTAATTTGGGGAGCCTCTTGGACTACCTTGACCAACAATTCAAAGGGAGGTTCCCCCTGCCTGGTACTGTTCCTTGTTAAGTAGCCTTCAGTGTACACATGGACTCATGTAGAGATAGTGTATGTGTAATTTTTCAATAGGTTTTTGTACTAATATGATTCCCTCTTTTTTTTTACACTAGCTAGGCCTTATTTATGTCTCTTCTCTCTCTCCTCCCTGTCTAACCCTCCTTCCACACTCTCCCCAGTAAAGTATCCCCATTTTCCCCATTTCTTCCTTGATAAGAACTATTCTTATGGTCCTCCCTCTTCTGAGCTCCTCTTTCCCTTTACCCCCATAGAAATTTTAATAGGACCCTGCACACACACACACACACACACACACACACACACACACACATATATATATATATATATATATATACACATATACATATAAAAGCTAGTAATAATAGGTCATAAATTTTTTTTAATTCTTTGGCCAACATATAATTTCACCTTTTGTTATAGATGGCAGCAAAGTTGCCCACTGAGACAGATGGGCTTATTTTTATATAAGAGCTAAAGTTTGTCTGAATATTTGATACTATAGAAGATAGGATCTCATCAATGTTTGTCAGATTTGATCAATATTTTGACCTTTATAATTAATTGTCAATGCTCAGACTGCCTCCTTGTGCACATTCTTGGAACAAAATGGGCAAAGATATGTTTAGGGCCATTTCAGAAATTATTGGAAATTCTGTCTTAATCCCAAACCAAAATTCATTGAATGACTTTACAAAACTCAAGTCAACAACTTAAACAATTTTTTCTTAAATTTTTTAATGTTTGTGTATTGTGTATGAGTGTGTACAAATGCAAGTGTGCATGCTGTGGCATGAGTATGGCGCTCAGAAGACAACTTGCAGGAATTGGCTCTCTCCCAGTGTATGAGTTCCAGGGATTGAACTCAGGTCATCAGGTTTGGCAGTAAGTGCCATTACCTGCTGAGCCATCTTGCTAACCCTCAAGCAATTTTTTAATTTAAATTTTTTATTACTTTTGAGAACTTCATGCAAGAGTATGGTATTCCTATCACTTCTATCCCTGCACTCCTCAATTTCCTGACCTCCTCTTTATCATTGTTCTGTGTGTGTATGCGTGTGTGTGTGTGTGTGTGTGCACACGCATGCAATCTAGTGAGTCCATTTAATGGTACTAGTAGGTGCATGTGTTTATGGATGACCTCTGGGATTGAGTAACTTCTCAGGCAGCTCTTGGTATCGTCTGTTATGTAGGTCTTGTTAGGCAGCCATACTGTGGAGATTTCCTGGATGTGGCCTCCCTGTCATGTCTAGAAGACACTACCTAGCTGCAGGCGTCCTGGTCCTCTGGCTCTTACCTTTCTGGCCCCTCTTCCATGATGTTCCCTGAGCCTTGGGTGTAGGGTTTGCATTGCACATGTATCAATTGGGGCTGAGCAGCCCATGGTCACTTATTCTTTGCAACTTGACCAATTGTGTATCTTTATGATCATAAAGATATCTTTATCTGTTCCAAAAGGAAGCTTCTTTGATGACCGAGGAGAACTACACTTATTTTTATAGATTCTAAAGTCAAACATTCTAATCCAACACAAAGATATAATTTCATACTTATATGGAAAAGAAACCAAGATAGGAAAATAGCTAAAGTCTGTTTTCTGTAATTAAACCTTTGTTTCTGTAAGAGCATAAACTCTTTTCTGTACCTTAAAAGCACTACAACTCACAACAAAGACTCGAATCTGAGCTGAATTGTCTCAGGCAGCATTTACTGGTGGCATGTGGTATGACAGCATGCACATTGTGTTCTGACCCAAAGCTACGGCGAAGTCACATGATGCAATCCAGGCACGTGCTGCTTGAAACACCACAGATTACATTTGACTTTGAATTAGATCTGGTTACTGCTTGCTGAGTTACATGACCTATCATTTAAAATGTTGGGATTTAGGACTGGAGAGATGGCTCAGAGGTTAACACTGACTGCTCTTGCAGAGGACCTGTCTTCAATTCCCAGCACCTGCATGGTAGCTAACACCATCCATAAGTCCAGTTCTGGGGAATCCAGCAACCTCTTCTGGCCTCCTCAGGTTTACACATATGGGTGTACTTCGATAACGTGACGGCAAAACACCCAGGCACATAAAAGTAAATAGGACACTGGGATTTAAACCATGACACTTTAAGAATGATGTGGGTGTTGTCAGCAGCCTGGGCAATAAAATAATTTTTAGTGTTACTGCTTTATTTTCTTCTAGCATTTATACACATTTATAATTGTATCTTTAACGTAATTGGTGTTCTCCTGTAGGTGCACAGCTTTATGTTCTGTGGTTCTGCCTTAAGATTGTTTCCAAGTGCCTTGGCATTACGGAGCTTATAAAATGTTCTCTTACCAGCAGTACTCAGCAGGGGTACAGAATACTCGTTGAAGTACCTGCCAATTAGTGGGCAAGTTTGACAGCTATGATTTTCACTTCATGAACAGCTCTTGTTAGGAAAATCTAGACAGATAAATTTTGAACTTCTTTATGTCTTTAGAAGAGATTCCAAGTGAAATATGGGATTGAAAAAATAGTCTAGCAATGGGTGTGATAGGGCATGCCTTTAATCCCAGCACTAGGGAGGCAGAGGCAGGCGGATCTCTATGAGATTGAGGCTAGCCTGGTCTATAAAGCGAGTTCCAGGTGAGCTGAGGCTACAGAGAGACCCTGTCTCAAAAAAGAAAAACAGTCGGGTATGTTAAATGTTTGTTCCAAGTACTGCATGTCTTTGGATCCTCCGACTAGCCACCTTGATAGTATCAAATACTGATATTTCACAGCTTTGCTAATTTGATAGGTAAAACGTAACATCTCCATTTTCTTTCTATCAAGTAGTTTACTCAGTACCCGAGAGGGGGTGGTTGAAGTGTCCCAGGATAAGTGTGCCTCTGTCCATTCGTTTCTGCTTTGGGTATGTTGAAGTTTTGTTGGTTTTCCATGTGTCGTCTTGCATGGGAAGGTCCTTTTATCATCGTGAACTTGACCGTCTTCAGCTTGGCTCATCTTTGGTCTGAAGTCTTCTTCCTCTGGTATTACGCCCACATTAGCTTTCTCTTAACTAGTGTTTGCAAAATATGTCTTTTTCCAGTCTTTTTCTTTTTACCTGCTTATGCCATTATATTTGTAGAGTTTTTTGTAGACAACATATAGTTGGGCCATGCATTCGCTTTACTCATTGTGCCAGTCACATCTCTTAATGACTCAGACCCTTTACATTGGATGGAGTTGTTTACGTTGAGACTCCAGGGCCTCACATTTGTTGGTCCTGAGTTTCACTGCTTCTCTCTTTCCTGCATTTCTGTGATTTGAACATTTTTTAGTATTTGAGGTTGATTGACCTACGATGCTGTCATTTATAGTT